AAATTGTGACTTATAAAATTTTTGAATTGCGACCTTAAAATAATTTGTGATTTATAAACTTTTTGATTTGTGACCGTAAAATAATTTGTGACGTTTCAATTTTTGATTTGTAACCGATGAATAAATTGTGACCTATAAAATTTTGGAACTGTGACCGTAAAATAATTTGTAACCTATAAAATTTCTAATTTGTGACGTTTCAATTTTTTATTTGTGACCTATAAATTTTTTGAATTGTGATCATAAAATAATTTGTAACATAAAATTTATTATTTTGTGACCAATTATATGAAATTTGTGACCAAATTATATGAAATTGTGATATTAATATATTTAATTAATAAAATATATATTTAATTAATTAATTTATAAATAAAATTTAAAAAACTCCGAAATTTGAAATTTTAAACTTAATTTCTTAAATTTGAAATTGGTAAAACTAAACCTCTTATTTATGAATTATTCCCTAGGAGGAATGCCACCACCTCTTAATGGGCCAAAAAGTAGCGCGCAATCTTCATATAATTCTAATTCCAATAGTTTAAAGAAAAATTGTATCAATTAGTCCTTGAAAAGCTTGTTTACGTTTTTAAAAAATGGTGAAGGAAAAATTCATGATTATTCCTTCTTATATGTTGGTCCCAGATAAACAGATCGAATGATTGTTCGAGTTTATTTTGTGAAAAACCGTAAAGAAACAAGTTTAAAAACAACAAGAACACAACATTTTTCGACCAAAGGTCCCGGAGATTCAACGACCACTTCTAACTCTTATTCCCCGTTGAGCATCCATAAGGATATTGCTCGAATCCACTATAAAGCCCAAAAAGGGGCAAGAAAAAGTTTGGTACAGATCTGCAATAAGGGATTCAAACCAACCCTGTATCTCGAATACACTTCTCTTTTTAGCAATCACTCACACAGAACATGAATTGATTTACTAAACTCTCTAAACAACAATCTCCCAAAGAAATCGCAAAAAGATCATCCAGTTGATGACCCAAAAATATAGAGAGAATTTCACTAAGACAGAGAAAGATGAACAACCATATTTGTCCCACCCTATGAGCACAGTTGCTTCCTTTTATATGAGATAAAGCAATATCACACATCCAACGGTATGAAATATTCCAAGTGTCAAGCATCCGATGAAGGTGTGTTTATATATATATCAAACACATTTTCATCCAATTTCCAGAAGAATCCATTTATTGGGTCAAGACATAGTTGGACTGGGTAAGTGGGCTTATCTCATTTGGGCCATAAAAATGTAGCAACCCATCTCCACAATCTCCACCTTTACTACATTTTTATGACTTTATGTAATGGATTCGAACTCTATCTCAGATCACTAGCTCTTATTAACCTATTACAAAACAAATACTAGTCAGTTTCAAGATTATTTTAGAGAATTCTGAAATTTATTCAAAAGTATTACCTTTGTGCCTACATCAGCTAGATTAACCTTAGTAAGTATTTTACCAAGTTTTACATCACCTTTTTCAGTTTTATCCATAATAAAATGAAACTTAACATCTATGTATTTAGTTCACTATGAAACATAGGTTTTTTACTCAAAAAAATAGCACTTTGATTATCTGAACAAAGCTCCGCCTTATTTTCTACAAATCCTAATTCATTTAATAATCCTTTCAACTAAATACCTTCTTTTACAGCTTCTGTAGCAGCAATATATGCAGCTTCGATAGAAAATAGAGGAACTAATTTTTGAAGCTAAAATTTCCAACTAATGCATGTATTATTTATCACATAAAAATATGCAGAATTAGATTTTTTATTATCAGAATTTCCAGCAAAATCAGAATCGACATATCCTTTCTAATTAAGACCATTTTTATCAGTTTTAAACATAAGTCCTAATTTCTAAGTACCATTTAGATATCTGATTAAATGTTTCATAGCTTCCCAATAAAGGTCACTTAGATTACTCATAAATCTGCTCAGAGCATTTACAACAAATGTAATATCAGGTCTAGAGCATACCATAACATACATAACATAACCTATTGCATTAGCATAAGGCACATTAGCCATTTTATTAAACTCATCTTTAGTTTTTGGTGAATGATCAGTAGATAACTTCACACAGGCAGATAAAGGCAAACTAACAGGTTTAGATTCAGGAAGTGAAAATCTTTTAATAATCATTTCAATGTAAGTTTCTTGTGTTAAAAATAATTTTCCATTTGTTCTATCTTTTTTTATTTTCATTCCTAGATCCTTCTAGCAGGCCCTAGATCATTCATTTCAAATTTAGATTTAAGTTTTTCTTTCAGAACATTAACAGCAACTTTATCATGACCAGTTAGAAGCATATCATCAACATATAGAAGCAAATAGAAAAATTCAGAATTTTCAGCACAATTAAAGTAGAAACAGGGATCGTAATCTAATTTTTAAAACCAATACTTTGTATAAAAGAGTCAAACCTCCTATACCATTGCCTGGGAGCCTGTTTCAGACCATACAAAGATTTCTTCAAAAGACACACTAAGTTTTTTTCTTGCTTTCAAAACCTTTTGGTGGGGTAATGTATATAGTCTCATCTAGAGTACAATAAAGAAAGATTGTTTTCACATCAAATTGTTCTAATTCTAAATCAAATTGTGCTACTAAAGCAAACAAGACTTTGATAGAAGTGTATTTCACAACAAGTGAAAATATGTCAATATAGTCTATTCATTTTCTTTGTGTAAAACCTTTAGCTACTAGTCTTGCCTTGTATCTTTTATCACCAGATTTCATATCACCTTCCTTAATTTTGTAAACCCATTTACCGTTAACCAATTTGCAATCATTAGGTTTTCTACAAGATTCCAAGTCTGGTTCTTATATAAAGAATCCATTTCCTCTTACATTGCAACAAACCATCTAGCAAAATCTTTACAAGATACTGCCTCTTCATAACAGGTTGGTTCAAAAATTTAAAGTCTCAGATTCATATTGTTCGGACACATTATCTGTATACAAAAAGCCTAGAGGGAGGCCGTATTTGTCTTCTCTCTCCATCCCTAACAAGTTTGTAATCTTGCATATTAGAATCAATATAAAAAACTTGACCATCTCTCAAATTCTGATCAGTTATAGTTTGTGATTCTTCTTGAGGGCTCTCTACCTCAACCTGAACTTGATTTTCATTATTACGAACATCAATATCAACCTCATTTGACACAAAGTCCTTTTCAACCAGTTCTTCTCTATTATCATTATTAAGACAAGGAAAGTGTTCTTTATTAAAAATAATCGACCTACTTGTTATAACTTTGAATCCTCCAATTTCTTTTATCCATAACCTAGAGCCTTTAACTCCTTTCCCATAACCAAAAAAAGACACATTTCAGAGATCAGGGTTCAAGCTTAAACCCAGTTTGGTGTGCATAAACTGCACAACCAAAGGTTCTAAGGTAAGAGTAGTTAGGCATCGTTCCAGTCCATATCTTCTCAGGTATCTGATAATCTATGGAATTTGAAGAACTTCTATATATAAGATAACAAGCAGTCTTAACAGCTTCTCCCTAAAATATTTTTAGTAAACCAGAGCTTATCAACATACATCTGATTCTTTCAAGGATAGTTCTATTCATCCTTTCGGCAATTCCATTTTGCTATGGATTATAAACTATAGTTCTGTGCATCTGTATCCCATGGTTATTATAGAACTGATCAAATTCAACATTACA